GGCTGTTGGAGTAAAAGACATATTTCATCTGTTTTGGGTGTGACGGTGGCCAATGCAGAACATTAACACGACTCACAATGTGTGTGTGTGTGTGTGTGTGTGTGTGTGTGTGTGTGTGTGTGTGTGTGTGTGTGTGTGTGTGTGTGTGTGTTAGCTAAGAAGGATTTCAGTTTTCGCCTCAATGAAGCATGAACAAGGTTCTCTCTTTCGCACGCTTCAAAACCTAAACTCATCAAAGACTGTCGAATTAAAACCTGACAGTATCTATCAAATTCATTTGTGACGGTTTATTTTTAGGCGTGAGTATTTCTTGGTTAAAAATATGTGGCTGTGTTGCAAAACAAATTCACTTTGACAAAATGTGTGTAATTATTGCCCAAAGCATTGAAGCGCATACACGAGTATGAGTAACACTAACGCTGATTTCATTAGTTAGTTCGAGCATGTGGTCATAAAAAGTACAATATTTAACTGAAGATGTTCCTGCAACACATGTACCAAGTTTCATGACAAATAGTTGCAGTGAAACAAATAAACACTAGAAATGTCAACCTTTGTGACACTAGAGGAAAAACATGGGATCAGCAAGGCCCTGACACACCATCCACCAGTGTTCAAATGTATTAGAGCTACGCCAATACCATGTTTAAAACATAAACACCATTATGCATTACATTTGAGCTTCATACAGGGAAGAATCAAATGGTAAAAGAAGCACATTTTCTATCGACAACAACCTCATTCAACCACCCTCCTGGACCTGCAGCCACATAACACTGCTCTGACCTTGTTCTTTCTAAGCTCTCACTGTCTTTCTCTACAAGCCAAACCTGCAGCTGAAAGCCAAGAGCTGTGGATGATACTTGAATGATTGTACCTGCCAGAATGTCACGATAGAGCGAAGAAACGTACCAACCAGAATCTTAATTTCTTTGGCAGCTTATATCAATTTACCCCCCATGAACAGCCTCGCTAATTCATAACGTGACAAGGATCCATGTGGCTTGTGTTGATGAGAAATCTAATTAAAAAAACCACAAACAAAACACATTAATTACATTTGCTAAAGCGCAGGCGAAATGTGAATGCTGTCAAAGGGGAATTATCAGCAACCGCAGTCACAAGTAACACATTATTATTTAAATGTGTAGTGTTGTAGTAGCACACAAGGTTGCTTAAAAACAGAGCAAAAGCATTCAAATTCAAAAGAGGACATATTCTGCTCGTTATCAGGTTCATAGTTGTATGTAGTGTCTCTACTGTGACATGTCTCTATGCTCTAATGTTCAAAAAGCACTTTATTGTTCTCATACTGCCTGTAGCACCTCTTTTCACCCTCTGTCTGAAACCAGGGCCCAGTCTGCTCTGATTGGTTAGCTGGCCGGCTCTGTTGTGATTGGTCAACCGCTTAGAGATGTCCCGCCCCTTAGCCTCACGTATAATGAGATGGTACACAATCGAAAATAAGGGCGAGTGTTAGTGATGTCACTATGTTAAGGAAGTAAACAAAGGAATCCAATGGAAGCATTTCAAGCGGGGGAGGGGATAGGAGTGCGGGAGAGAAACTCGCAGACTTTGCAGACCATTTACATGCACCTACATATCACACTACAGGAAATGGTAAACCCCCCAAAAGCATAGAAGGCCCCCTTTAAGTAAGAGCTAGATGAATATAATGAAAGAAAACATCTCTTTCACACTAAATGTCACACTAAAAGCTGAAACATGAAAAGTGGCCAAAAGAAAGAAGATTGAAAAGTTATGAATGGACCGCAGGACACACAGCCTTGGGTATGTTCCAGTCTGCACCTATAAATGCCACCTCGGTGAATTATCTACCTCATGCTGAGCACAGGTAGGAAAAACGACTCTCTGGGTTCAAACTTCATGCCCACAGTAACTCTACACCAACACCCGTTCTCTCATTTCTCAGGATCTGGTCTCGAACAACGGCTGAATTTACAATCGGCTCTGAATTATTTAACCGTCTGTGGTACGACGAGCATGACGACGGTCGGGTTACCTGGCTCTACAGCCAAGAGATCAGCAGGACTCTCCGGATGGAAAGTCTCCATGGAAGAAGAGCCTCCAAATGTTCAATAAAACAACTTCACACGCAGTTGAGCTGGAACAGAGCTCTGCACGACTAGTACACTGCTTTACATAATGCAACTCTATCAGCAGGGACTTTACAGTTTCTTGTATAAAATATTCCTGCTTAAACCAAACAGAACTGGGCTTCAGTAAAGCTCTTTTCCTGTCAAATTAGAATAAAATCCAAGGGTAATTATAGCTCTGTATAAGCAAATCTATTTCTGTAGAGCTCCACTTTTGATGTTCATTTGAAAGGTTTGCACTCCAATTAATTCAAGGGTACAGCAGCTCCTATAGCCTTGGCATGATTCAAAGGTCTGACTCTTATTGTCTTATGAAAGGGATGCCTATAGAGAAGCTATGGATCTTAATGAAACATAATGAAGCTTCCTTACGTACGGTATGTATCATTTCTATAAAAAGGTAAACTGTATAACTGCAAATACGTCCTCTCTCTTTCTTTAACAGGTCTACACATTTGTAACGGCTCACAAGTGGTTCCAGTCTTTTTGGACTTGTAAAAGTGAAGCCATGTCTGATGTGAACCGATTTCACATGTTGCTTATGTCTTATGTCACCTTCACACTAGATCTGAAACGATCGGAAGAAATCATATGGCCCAGATATTTTGATAAGAAACTAATAGTTTGTGTTTGTCAGATAGAATACTGAACATTTCCTGCTTCTGAAATAACACGATGTTATGACTTAAATGTCCATTGGTTTCACACTGACAATGTTACCTTGGACATTTTGAAACTGATCGGCATTTGACGTATTTCTGACAATTTCAAGTCCAACAACTAGTGGGTAAATTGAGTGAAATGTACTCAAAATAAAAACCAGTCTTTAAACATAAGCATAGTGCCAAAGGGACTCTCCTGGATTTTCCTACCGCAAAGGTTGACTTTGAAAAATGCTTCCACCTCCACCACCTTCCTCCAGTGATGAGTGTTCCTCATGGTCCCCTCCTCCTCCTCCTCCTCCTCCTCCTCTTCCTCCACCTCCCGAGCCCCCGGAGCGGAGGTGTCGCAGCTCGTCGGGCTGCAAGGCGCTGTACCAGGCCTGGTGCACCCCGTCGGGGGTCAGCACGGGGCTCTTGTCCTCCTCCTGGCCCTGCACCTGGCTCTGCACCGTCTTCACCATGTTCACCGCGCTCACCGGCAGCTGCAGCAGCAGCCTCTGCATGGCCGTCATGGTGGAAACTTTAGAGAAAGCAACCTGTAGAATCCCAGGTAGACAAAGTGGAGAGATGGCCGTTTTCTAAAAGCCACTCCTCAGTGTTAATCCACTGGAAGGTTCTCCTCAGACAGCCTTCACACAGTTAGATTCTGTGTTAGGAATTCTCCTCCGAGGCGAAGTTTATCCAACGTGGACATTTCTTGCAAAAATGATGCAACACAGCTCTTCAGAAAAGCTCCTCTTCTCCTCCACGGTTGAAATACTTTGCCTCCTGTAATCCAAATCCACCGGATCCCCAGAGCAGCGAGGGTTTTCTCCGTCCTCCTGTTACTGCTGAGTCTATACGCATCCAGTGGAGCAGCAGACATCAGCTGCTCGGTAAATGGATGCTCGGCAGAGAGGGGCGTGGGGTTTTATTCGCCTCTCCTCCTGCACCAGCCTCTCTTTCTCTCTCCCTGTGCACACACACACACACACACACACACACACACACACACACACACACACACACACACACACACACACACACACACACACACACACTATGTCCACATATGCGTTTCTAAATCCCTCTGACAATGACACAGCCTCTCCCATCTTTTGCCACGTTATCACTCAGCCCCTTCGCGCTTGTCATCTTCGCTCTGCCTCGTCACATTAACATCGTGAAATCTCGTTTTAACTCTCACACAGCTTTCTGTATCCGCCTGCAGCTAAAACTCACAGCCAGCAACCCAGCTCCCAAACCCCGACAGATTATTTTAAATATTCCCAACTACTCTGGCCCATTATGTTCAAAAAATGCCCCTGTCTGATTAATATTTTAAATTCTGTGAGGTGCCTTTTTATTCTCTTCGTCTTACATGACTCAGCGTTCTGTTCAGTGTCGTGATGATGAGGTCTCTCTCTCTCTCTCTCTCTCTCTCTCTCTCTCTCTCTCTCTCTCTCAGGTTTTGCTGACATTTTCTGGAGAGTAATACGATGTTTAACCTGCGATGTCCATGATACTCCCCGGAGAATCACACTGACAACACTGGAGAAAAATAAATCTATTTAAATATAATACGCAGAGTTGGTAGGTTTTAGTGCATGTAATGGTCTGCAAAGGCAAAATTCCCTGTGTTCCCTCCAGAGTGAGTTTCTCTCCCACACACTGCCCCCCCCCCCTGCCTGAAATGCCTCCATTGGACTCCTTTGATTACTTCTGTAACAAAGTGACATCCCTGTGTAACACTTACGCTTCAATTTGCTAGCGCTCCAACACATTGTACGTGATATGGCTAAGGGGCGGGACATCTCTAAGCGGTTGACCAATCACGACAGAGCCGGCCAGCTAACCAATCAGAGCAGACTGGGCTCTGGTTTCAGACAGAGGGTGAAAAGAGGTGCTGCAGCACAGGCAGTATGAGAACAATAAAGAGCTTTTTGAACATTAAAGCATGGAGACATGTAGAGGGACAAAATACAAACAGGAAAGAAACATTTAGCACAACAGGGTCCCTTTAAAACATCTCTGTAAATATCTTATAATTCCATCCCAAAAAGATTTCTCATGCAAACTTTTAGATCTTTTTTTGGGAGCAGTGCAGCCATATCATAACCTGACTGACAGTAAAAATGATATATGAAGGCTTTCATGAATAAATAAACTCCAAGTATGCAAGAGCTGAAGCTGGATAATTCATATTCTTCCCCAAGTGGCACCGTAATGGAAAAGTACTTTTTTTATTGTTATATTGTTTATCGCTCTGACATTTCTGACATTTTGAAGAAACGCACCATTTTGCTCTAAAGCGGACAGACGTGAGGATTGACATCTACATACTAAATAAGATTAAAGACAGAAAACCCAGGGGGGAAAGCTAGCCCGGCTCTTACTTAATTAAACAGCCAATCAAAAGCCGTCAGACAAGAAGGAAGGGCTACCATAACAAGTCAATACTAAATTATACTTCAGTACTATATTTGAGACAATGTGGTGCAGAGCCACAACGAAACAGAACAAAGCAGAAACATCTCTTGGTAAAGAGGAAAGGTGATGCTCAGAATGATGATAACACAGACTGACATGATTTGACAACTGGAGCTACATCTCACATCTGCCGTGTTTCCAAGGAGACGACAGTGAAGGTCGAGTGAGCGCTTTCACTGTTGTGCTTACAGACAAACCTGTTAATCTACCTTCACTGAGGAGACTCTGACTTCTGCAAACACCGGAGCCACGCCCAGCCCACCTTTCAATCTCAAGCTCCATCTCCTCCTCCAGATCCAAAGGTCACAGTTCACAAATGACATCAGACATCTATTACATTACATGACATGTTACTTGTTAGTCGCTTTTATCCAAAGTGACTGAAATACTCAATACTGTGGGCAACAATCCCCACAGGAGCACTTTGGGGTGAAGTGTGTTGCCCAGGGACACAACGACATGCTGACTGCAGTGGGGTTTGAACCTGTGCTCCCCTGATCCGAACACCAACGCACTGCACCACACGCCTCCATGTATAAACAAAGAGCTCCATCTGCTGGTGAAGCAGGGCTGTTATCGGTGGAGCAATAAACAGCAATGCAATGCTATTACACACGTTCCCAAACTGAGAGACATGCAGAGAAAATAGTATACGAGATCAAAACCAAACAACTACACAAAAGAACATGAGAAAAGTGGTCTCAAAATGACACTCGTAGCCATATTCTACGATGTACCTTGGGAAAAAAGGGTTTATGTAATCCAACACTTAAGGGTAAAGCAGCTCCTATAGCTTTTGCATGATTCCAAAGATCTTATTCATAACACAGGGTTAATATGATAAGGATGCCTACAGAGAAACGATGGATCTTTATGAAACATAAAAAAGCTACATACAGAAAATATATTTTGATTAGTATGACTATAAATATTTCCTCTCTCTTCCTACTCACTTTTCTTTATGGCTTTAACACCAGTGGTTCCAGGGATGCCATGTCTACTATGAAGTGCATTTCATATGTTGCTTATGTGAAGGATTTATGGTAACTTTTGTAATACAATACATTTCAAGAGAATATCTATCTCTTCTTATTAGTATGAAGCTGAGATGCATGTATTGTATCTCCAACAGAGGGCGACTGCATCACATGGGCACCGATGAGTCATATGGATGCATTTAGTATTAGTCAGCAGCACACAGTAGCTGGAAGCAGGATTTGACTATAATAGGAATCAAACTGCTTCATTTAAGCCCAACACACCAAAAGTGAACCGTTATGGCCCGCGGTGTGAGTGACCCTGAAGTATCTCAGTGCCATGATAAGAGCTGGTCCATTCTCCTAATGTAAGGGAAGGTGTTTCAGTGCCTTCTTGTCTTTTCTCCTTTAGCATAACGAAAGGTCCCACAATTCCTTGCAGCTACAACATTAAAAGCCAATGCACGTCAATAACATCCACCATCACATATTTACGCATTAATTAGATTAAGTTTAGAGTGTTTTAGCACCACTGATGTGTTTTTTTACTGGCTAATTATTAATTATGCCTCAAATCTTTTCTTGACCTTGTGTTTCTGTCCATTTAGGTCAAGAGATATTCATTAACAAGACATAGAAGCCATGGTTTTCTCACTTTTGTTGCTCCTTGAAAACTCCTCTCAGGATATTGAACTGAACATACATTTCTGTTTCACTCTGTAAACGTTGTTAAGTTATTGTACTGTATGGTCGCATTACTGGACATTTCCACTTGGTTTCTCACTTCTACTAAAGACAGTACGATTTAAATTATAAAAAATGTTTTTAAAAACTAATGCGCACTTCCTGTTTCAGTGCTATCTCCAGCCTGCTCCTGCAGAATCACAACTTAGAGTTCACCTTGGGTCAACGTTGGCCGAGCGGATGTTCATGTTGACAAATGTTCCTTTTTTACAGAAGACATTTTGACAGGTAACATTAGGAAAGGCAAAGGTGTTGTTAATCAAATTAGGGAGGGCTGCAGTAATCTAGTTTCACACCAAAATATACGATGGCTAAATTCAATTTAAATTCTTTGGTTTCAGGTTCTGCTTTCTCACATAAAACAGAGCCATTGTTAGTGTTACAGTGTTGCTTCTATGACAAGTCAAAATGTCTACTGAATAAAGTGAGAAGTGACCGAGGGGCAGACGCAGTCAAATCAAAACAACAGATGGACATTTTGATTCCTATTAGTACATAATTCCCCGCAGCACTTTAGCAACAAGGCCTTTTTCACAGCAGACATGTTGGCTTGTCATTGCAGGAAAACAGACATTAATAATGACTGCATGACATTTAGGAGAGCGAGCTCCGGGGCTTTGTGTCGTACATGCTGTCTCGCTGCAGGGACACACAACGAGCCTGAGACTTCATTTATGAACTTAGTTTCACTTGTGTGTGAGCATCATAGGACGACAACAAAAAGCACGACTGTGGCTGTATGGCTTTCCGAGACGCTCTTGAAACAGAGTGAAAGAACATTTTGGCTTATAAAGAACATGAAAAAGCTTGTGCTCATGATTCATTCATAATGAAGATAGTTAACACTGTTATAAGGCCCTTTCCATGACAGCATGGCAACTCAGTTAATACATTCTGGTCAAAGTATAGAAATAAAACATAAACATATGTCACATACGGTATAGGCTCTTGTCTGTCAACAGATTAAGCTGTGAAAACTTTACCAAACTGTACTGTACCGATTAGCCGGAGCTTTTCGACGTGGGGTCCAGTGAACGAGCCATTTCAAAAAAGACAGTTTGACATGGCTCACAAGGAAAGCACTGATGTAAATGATAAATTCGATGGCTTAATTGGCAAGTCAAGTCAAAATATTAGCTTTAAAAGGTCACCTATTGTGCAAAATCCACTTTTTCATGTCTCTTCTACATCACCATGTGTCCCCTCTGTGTAAAGAGACTCTGAAAGTTTCAGGAACAAAGATTCTCTCTCTTTTTGTCCTGATCCATGAAAAGCGCTATAAAAGTCCCATGTATTATTATTATTATTATTATCCATTTATATAAAAACCTGTCTGAAAATGAGACGATCAGCGTTTGGCCACTTTATGATGTCATAACGATTTTTTGGCTTGTGTAACCATTAGCCAATCAGCAACCAAGGTAACAGAAAGAGATTCAGCACTTTTGAAACAGGGCTGAAACAGAGGGGATTATGGGTAATGCTGCAATGATCTGCTTGGTGTTTGGAGCCAAACACTTCAGAGACATGTTCTGTATCTGAGACCTATAATATATTGATGAAAAACAGTATAATAGGGGACCTTTAGAGTAGGCCTACAGATGCACAGAGAAACAGCCTCTCTATTTATACATTGTTTCATTCATGTTTGTGTGCAAAAGCTGCTTTATGAGAGGTCTACTTTTGGGTGGCTGGAAGGACTTTAATACTCAGCCCAATTGATGTCTCAGATGTTATCCCTAATATCATCACATGGTAATAAAGGGCAAATATAACAGAAGAAATCCAGTTGCTATAGACGTATTCTTTCTAAGACGCTACCCATATGTACATCCTGTAGTCTGTGCTAGCTGTAGAGAAGACAGAAATAAACTCTACTGGGAATAGGGTGCTCAACGTATCTAATCAAATACCATTATTTTCCATAACTACTGCCACAGCAGAGCCCCTCTTACACCAAGTCACTCTTTCATACTCTACTTTTAAATGCAGAACATGACGTCCTCATTAACTTAATCAATCATAGTAGTTTATTAGTGTCTAGGACCACCTTCCTGCTGGTTACTGTAGGTATGATGTTGTGTGAATATCAAAATAAGTTCCTGCACTGTCTCTTGTTCAGATCGAGTACCATCCTCCTTTCCCCAAAAAAAGAGAAATGTTTCGGAAAGAACAATATGTTCCCGAGCAGGATGAGTGAGGACAAGTTCTCCTGCAGGATGACGATTCTGTCGATCGATGCAGTTTGTTTGGGTTTAGCAGGTTTATGTTGAACATGGATTATTGGTCAGATAAATGAGAGTGATTTTAAATCTGTGCATTTTACTGTCTTCTTTTGCTTAGGCTCGAAAGGTCCCAAGGTATAAACTACAGTCATGTCCTCAGAAACAAATGAATCTGAAACAGTATTCTGGCCAGTGAGGATTATCTTAAAACGGACTTATGTTTCCTTTAAGTCTTGCTTGTTTCATCTTGTGTGGCTTTTTTATGGATGTTGGACATATTTTGAAGGTTTAACAGATTCAAAAAGAGGGTTTCAGAGTGAGAGAGAATAACCAGGCTTCCTGTTTGATGTTATAATAAACTTACTTCAGTCTTATCACTGGATTATTATTTTTATTGAGATTAAAGTTTTCTAAATGGATAAACCGAGGGACACTTTCCCTTCTCGTTTGGTAGTAAACTGAACGTCTTTGTGTTAAGAAAAGAACAACAAATCAACAAGGAGAATACCATCTTATTGTGGGAATATCATACTGTGTGTTAAACTCCTTAGTATTGATCACTATATGAGCGTTCAAAAGTATTCTTACTTTTTTTTTGGACTAAACAAACCAATAAAAGTGTTTGCCTAATCTTTGGCTTTCGGAACTTTTAAATGTTTTGACATCTATAGGCCAAACAATTAATACATTCTGCATATTAATTGAATAATGACCATAATCGTTAGTTTACACACTTAATATTATTATTCATATTATATATATTAGTATTTGTATGTTTGTACTCATGGCAGAAAAACTGCATAACAACAAGGACACAAGCCCCATTATTTCCTCCATCCTCACACAAACACATGTATATGTTTATTTATTTATAGAATCATTACTAAATAAGGTCTTATATGTTATTCCTTACACATGACTGATACTAAAAACCTATTCCAGGTCATAGTGAACTAGGTATGTGTCTTTATATTAACTATAGGGTGCATGTGTATAATGTGACGCTGTGCTGCCGCTCTGCGCGCTGTCCAGCAGGGGTGGTGCTGATCTGAGGCCTGGCACCCAGTCTGACAGGCCTTTCATAAGATATCACCTCACAAAACATCAAATAAATACAAACTCCAAACATGTAAACGCTTTTAAAGACACACCAGTGAATGCACATGTATTGAAAGTCAACACCAGAGCTGGGTTGTCATTTGACGCTTCTGCTCTGGCGAAGAAATCACGGTGAGAGCTTCACATCCAGAAAAAAAACACCGATTTTAAATCACGGGCCTAATAGCAAACAAAGTTCACTTGGAGAGGGTTTTATATTGCAATACAAAATGCATTTTAACGTACAGGACACCACCCACACCCTGCACCTCCCCCGCTATTAGCTGCACCGGTACCC